ACGTCGAAATGCGATTGTTCGAAATGCGATGTTCTATCAGCTGCGTAATTTAGTTACGCTTGGTCGGTTTGGTCGTCGTTTTTCTTGTTTTTTTCCTTATCGAATACGGAAGAATACGTTTATTTATAATCAAATGACCTATATACAACAAAAATAAAAAGGGAATTGTTAATAAAACAAATAAAAAATAAAAAATAAATTTGTAAAAATAATAAATTAATTATTACATATAAAATTATATCTTGATATATGATATAAAAAAAAATACCTTAATCGAATTAATCGAATTATTACCAATACACACACAAACATTTTGGAAAAAAGAATGTTAAAAGTTGGAATTTAAAAAGAATGTTAATTGTTTGGGTGGTTGATCATTGTTATGATAATGACAAAGGATTCTTGAGAGAGAAGAGAGCTTTTTATATAAAATTTGAGATTATTTTTAAAAGCCATTTTTTGCCAATTAAACCTAAAAATTTTAATCCCCTAACGATACAGCTTTAATAATAATATATAACATATAAATTATTGTAAAAAAAAAAAAAAAAAAAAAAAAAATTTAAATTATCTGTATTTTCGGGAACTTAATAATAATATAAAGATTTTACGATTGTCCTCATTCACTGATAAACCTAACAAATTATGACTCGTAGATTTGTTGGTTTTTGATATTCATTGCGTATTTCATTATTTCAATAAATTCGGTATGTCTTATCAATAACACCCCCGAAAAGTTCCATTTATGTTCTTATTCAAAAAAGTATCCTAGATTAATCTATATCCAAATTATCGAATGAATGACTACTTGGAAGTACAATACCTGGTTCTTTGAGAATAATTATATATTCTAGGCTCATAGAAACCAAAAAAAAATGGATTAATGTTTAACTAATCATCGTTATCAAGGGAGTTGAAACGGCAATCTTTACGTATCTTGACGAATTCTGTGTTCCCAATGTTTGTAACAACGGCATTCAACTTGATTTACTTGAAATGGTTACATAAGATGTTGTCAGCTGAAATGAATTGTAAGAATCTTAAAATATTTTTGTAAAAGATTTAAAGATTTTCAGTAACAAAAATTTTCGGTGCATGTGGATTGTTATTCTCGCTCACTTATCAAAATTTTATTGAAATTTTATTTGTGGTTTGTTTCCTCCTCAAATTGATAATGCATTTAAAGTAATACGATTACGGTATTCGAAAATATGATCTAAAAACCTGATATATCTTTAAATAATAATCTACACCTATCACAATGCATTTCTCCCACATGAAATATCTAGTTGTATTACATTGGTACCAATTTTCGTTTATCTCAATAAATTCGGTTCATATTTTTTGTTTTTTGGAAATAGTTTCTTTGTTCTCCTATATTAAAAACCCTGATTATTTGTTGTGGGTTCCTATTCAAACCTTTTTTTTTCCAAATATATTATCATTATGATTCTTAATGTTCTTTTTATTTTATTTTATTTTTTTTACTGTATAGGTGGGGTTCATTTTAGGGTAGAAATGGTTGAAATTTTTTTTTTAACACCAATATCTTTTTTTTTTTTCATAATGTGAAAAAAAAAAATTTTCATGCATCATGCAATTCTCTTAAATTGGTGGTTATAATAAAAATTTTTCATTACATCCTTTAAATACGTGATGTTTATTTGTACCACTTATGATTATCAAAAAAAAAAAATATATATGCATATATTTTTTGTAAGTAAAATAATGATAATGATAGTTACATGTATTCGGGACATATTAAAAAAAAAGATCCCATGTTTCCAATCCACACTTCCATTTATTTATCAATCCAAAAAGGAAATGACAATAAAAGTCAACCCCAAAAATAAATTTAGATAATTAAATAGTAAATGATTAAGACAAAAATAAAAAGGGGGGTGGAGGGAAGAGAATTTCCCACAGAAAATAAAAAGAAAAAAAGATTGTTCTATATTAAACTAATTATATCCATGTTCATATATACAATTACTTTTTTAGTTTATAAAGAAGATGTACGTGGATACATATATCGCTTTAATCATTTCTTAAATCATCATACATACATATACACGAATCAATCGGAAAATTACGTTAATGAGTTATCAATACTCGAGGTACATAAAACTCATGTAATTCACCTATTCACATTCAAACCAACGCCAAAATTTAATTATTCTAATTTGTCATTATGTTTATCAATAATGCATAAGAAGAGGAAATTATAAATGATCATAAAAGAATAATGAGTTGACAAATATGGAATCAACGACGCAATCATATAAAAAAATACGTCATTTCCTGCTTTCTGTAGTGCCATTTTGAAAAAATATGCTTTAAACTTAAAAGTATTTAATTATTTTTTCTTTGTTAGATTGACTGCCCATTTTATTATCATACAATGAATTATCATTTGCCATTTAACACCAAATTTTTTTCTTTTATCGTGCATTCGGATATTCCGAACTTATATTCGCGTCATTTCCCCATTATAAAGTTTTCGAAGGCGTAAGTTAGACCAAATACAAAGATCACCACACGCAAGTTAGTTTGTTTATTTTTTTAAGCATGATATTCCACTTTTTATTACAATAACATAAATAATTTTTTTTTTTTTTTGAAAAAATATGGCTGATTCCTTAACTTTAAACTTTTTTAAAAAAATTTGTTATTGTTATATTACATTGTACCATATAATAATGAGCAAAATTTATCCTAAATAAGTTGGTTTTTACATTTGACCTTTCCTAATATGAGGATATACTTTAAACATATTTTGTTCTCTTAACTGTAATTCGTTTACTTATTATTGGGTAGTTGAATTTACGCGTTTTGTTTATTCCTTAATATTCGTTATTTATTCATTTTTTTATGGTTTTTTTCCCCTATAAAAAAAAGTTTCGATTTGTTAAAAAGGATAAATTGTTTCAAGTTAATCAAATCAATATTTATTAATTTGAATTATTAATTCTATATCTTTGAAATTTATGTTTGTGTTAAGTTTAGTAGTACTATACAAAGAGAGCAACCGTGGAACCAATCTTTGGAGTCCATTTTCTTTTAGAAAAGACTAAAATAAGAATATACAATAAGGAAATATGATTCTAAAATAAGATCTTTCATTATCTATGCTGGGAATATCCGAAAAAATAAATAAATCTTTTTTTTAAAAAAAAAAAAGACACTTGTTTGATTGGGATTCAACCTTAAAAGGAAACATATTCAATAGATAAGCACACCGTAACACTTTTTTTCCCCTCTAATATAAATTTACATGAATATTACTCATAAAAAAAAAATTTAAAAAAAGAGGAGATGTGTATATAAATAGTAAATAAAGAATTACATTTAAAATATATATATAAAAATATATATATTTGTTTATTAGTGGATGTATCTGCGATAATTGTCTCATCTTCGATTCGATTCTTGTATTTTATGATGAAAGGTGATTATATTTTTTTTATCTTTTTGTCATGTCATGATACGTGGTTCCATTTTTTTTTACTAAATACGTCTATGCTATATTGAGATGTTTGTTGTACTACCATTTCGGTAACAGGGGTTTGATTTTACCAAAAAAAAAAATATTTTTTAAAGTACTGTATGGGTTATTTTATTTTGTTTTTAAATGACAACATTTCAAGCCTTGAAGATGGACATAATGAAGAAGTCTATGAGGTAATTTCATTGTTGGTCGAAATAGAAAAAATTAATTTTATTTAATTTATTTTTAATTTCCCATCATTTTCATAAGCATTTTCCAAATCAGCTAACCAATTATTAAAATATGTTTTAAACCTAACATGCATGATTTGTCGATCCGAGATTTTTAAACTAACTAAATCTCATATCAAAGAAACCGAATTTAGTTTGAATTCACGTTATTTGAGAAAAGAAAGAAACGAAATAATCCGAAATCATGTAAATGGAAAAAAGGGACTATAGAACGATTCATTCAACGTCATATGACCATAAACGGATTCATTGAAACCTTTCGTCTTTCATTAAAAAGAGAACAAAAATGAGTTCCCGTATTCGGGCATGCACGCAAGTATTAGCTGGGGTGCCACTGATTAACGCATCTTTTAGGTGGAATTACAAATATCTTAGGTTGTGTCAAACAAGAATAGGTTTCTCCATCATGCAAAGAATTACGGAAATTACGGAAATCGATTTTTAAAAAAAAATATTATTTTTATTTTTTAGCTTTCATTGATAAGGATACCTTTTATCATTTAGATTATTTGATGGATCGAAACACTAAAAAATTAATCAATGTAATGGGCTAATAAAAGAAAGAACCTCAATTAAGTAACATCTTGGGTTCGACAATTTCATCTTCATTTATGATGTGAGTGAGTAATATTAAGGAAGAACTGTTTGGTATTGGATGGATAATATGCAACATGAGTTCTCCAGTGAGACCATTTTGGGAATATGTTGGAAAAAGAGAAAACAAAAAGAATCTAATTTAGGATTGTAACAGACCAATTGGTTTATTTCCGTCACTAGGTTAATTAAGGGTTCATTGCTCTCTAAACTAATGAAAATTGAGCTTGGGAATCCAATACCATGCAACTTTCGTAAAACATCTTTTTTTTTAATTCATTCATTGAGCTCATATTTGGTAATGTGTCAATCTCAAAATTTTTTTTCTTCATGATAATCACACTCTTTGATTTAAATAAAAATTTTTTTATGTGGGGTTCTAACAAAATTTATTTGTACTTTGATTATTTCAAATTCTTTTTATGATCTCTTTCATAAAGAGAAGAAAAAAGAAAAAAAGAAAAAGAATGTGAGAAAGGGTTCATTGACGTTTCATAGATCTTTTTAACCAAAGGCAACCTAACCTATTCAAAGAAAAACTTTGATTTTGATCTAGAAAGAAGAGAAAAAAAATAGATTATCACGTACATGGTATTATTATTATCTTTTGTATAAAATTACAACACGATAAATTATCGTTTAAAGTTTGGAGATAGAGAACAAGGCACATGGTAATACGCGAGACACATGTATTGGGAACATGTGGTAACACGATATTAAAAATCAATACAACCACATCAAATAAAAGTAAATAAATGCATGAATAATACCAATCCTTCAATCTTTTAAAAAAATCTACCTTTTCCCTGTGAAGGGGAGGGGGATCATGAAATAATGTGCGAATGGTTATTGACATTGCAAACCATGTCAACCATGTCAACCATGTCCACCATGTCTGCCATGTCTTCCATGTCCGCCATGCTCACGAACGCTTGAGAAATGTGAAAGTGGTCAACATTTTGTCATTGAATGTCAAGGAACTTTCTTTTTTCCTTATTCAAATGAAGATACAAAGCTCGTAGAATTCATTGTCTCTTTTTTTATCCTTGCGAAGAAAAACATATTCGAAATTCGGTGCTGGGGTGTTTGTGTGTGACATGATCACTTCAAATGAAAAGATGTTCAAAACACCGTGAGCAATATTTCATAAAATTACGTTCTTGTTTAAAAACTTGGATTGCTTATCTTGCTTATGAAAATCATTCCGGAATAATTAATTATCTGACTGAATATCAATTTTTTTATTAGTTTAAAAACATCCATCCGGATGGGGTTAACAAACAAACAAACGAAATTTTCGGAATTTCTCGGTGCTGAACAAACGCAACTCTGGGAAGATTCGAAAAAATGTTACCATAAGATAGATTTAGCACATTCGCAATATTATTTAACTTTTTTAGATGGTTGGGAAGGTTGGAAGGTTAGGTTTTCCCATGATGGATTATCAAACGGTCCTAATTTGTTCACAACTTGTTTTCTTATAATATATTTCAATTAGTGGGGGGTTGACCCTAGTTTAATAATTTTCGAAATTTTGAATTAAATTCCCCTGGTTTTTTAACCACAATTAAACCTTTTTTTCTTTAGTTATTGTACGATCAAAAAAGATTTACATTTAAAAGCTAACCATTTTGGTCTATGTTAAAATTATTTTTGGCTTCTGGGGAAAATTTCATCATCTAGGCTGAAATGGTGAAACCAAAAAAGCCCAAGAATTTTTAATTTCGGGACGAAATTTCATCCGTATTCGAATCCTTACATAATTAATTCATTCCCCCCTTTTTTTAAAAAGGAATTTTAATCAAACCATTCAAATTTTAAGTATATTTTGGAAATGGAGGACCGATTTGGGTTAAGCACTTTTTATAATAAATTTTTTTTTTTAAAAGTTCTTTGTGTAGAATTTGTAGAATTTGAAAAAGATTGTGAATCAGTGATAATTAACTTTATTACATGGGATATTCGTCCTCGACCAATCATACCAATCAGACCGTTTCACGTGACTAAAATCGGATATATAATTAATTATTAAAAAAACCACCAACCATTACGACCCTCTTTTAATAATGTTGTTCTGTCCTTGTTGTGGAAATTTATTGTTAATTCAACATCATACGCAGGGTGAACAATCATTTTTTTGTCAAACTTGTCCTTACGTTTTTCCGATAAGTGGTCGAGAGGTTCGTATCAAACACAATTTTTTTTTTATATTTCAAAAAGTGGCGTTTATCCTTTTTCCTTTTCTCTTTTAGTATAAGAATCGAACAACCTTAAAACGAAAGGAAGTTGATGATGTCCTTGGTGGTGAAGAGGAGTGGAAAAACGTTGATTCAACTGATGGTAAGGTTATAAAATTTTCGCCGATTTTCCGTGTCATCAAATAAAAAAAATAACAAATCATTTTTTTTATCTCTAGCAACTTGTCCAAAATGTGAACACCCGCGAGCGTATTTTATGCAAATCCAAACTCGTTCGGCCGATGAACCCATGTCAATATTTTATAAATGTTGCAACCACGAATGTCAACATCAATGGAATGAGAAATGAACATTCGGGATCATAAAAAGGTCATTACATTATACATTATATATATACATACATACAATCTAATATTATTTTATTAAATATTTATTATTTTTATTTGTGTACAAAAAGCAAAAAAAAAAAAATGTACCATCAAAACACCGTTTAATCATTAAAGGTGTGTGAATTAAAAAATTTTATTATTGAAAGAGTTTTTTTATTATTATTATTGAGTTTTTGAGTCTTGTTCGAGTGCCAATTCCACTACTTTAGTATTATTCAACCAATCTAATTCTATATTTTCAAGATGCTCGTCGAAATCATATAAATGTTCAAAATGTTTATTGCGAATTGATGATGAAACCAGATCAGTCGACTCCATGTTATCCAGAGTAAAACTACATGAAAACGTCGAGTCTCTTATTTGTGAAAACGCCTTGTTATCGGGTCGCCATTGATTTTCTTTAAACAAATACGGCTAGATTGAGAATAAACGAGAAGGTTAGTCAAGGAGGAAAAAAAAACTCGGAATGATATTCATTTGGGTGAGTAACTACCACAATTGCGATTTCGGGTTTCTCTGGTGATAATTTTGTATTTTGAACCTTTTTTTTTTTGAATTTTTTTTTAAAAATAAGAATTATCAATTAAAAATAAATACATCATCTTTTCAAAAAGTTAATTGTAAAAAATTTTACATACGACAAGAGCAATTGCGTCATTAAACTTTTCAAAAATTTTCGATGCAATTTTCTGTCCAAACGGCGGTAATTTATTATCATCTATCCTCTCATTAGCGTGATAATAGCCCACCACATTCAATTTGTTTTGATTGGCGTAAATGTCAATCTACGAATCAGAATTAAATAAAATGAATCAATTCAAAAATAAAATAATTATAACTATTATAAAGAATTACTTACCTGTTGCAAACCCACTTCTAACATTGGAGTTAGAGTATGCCAATTATGAAATAGTGGCACGACATCAGAAATAATTATTTGATTAGATGAATCATCTTCATTAGACACTTGCGCTAAAAGAATACCATTTACTGTTCTAGTTGGATATTTACAAGCATGGAGGATGATTTTTAAATATGCTCGTGTATTAATAATGTAATCTGGCATTATTATTATGATTATTAAGTAAGAAAGTTTTTTTTTTTCTTTTTTTTTTATGGGTAAAAATTAAATGAAACGAAGGGGGAGAAAAACAAAGGTAAGTCAAAAAGAGAAGGTTGAAGTGAGAAAGTTTAGAAAACCTTTTTTTTTTGATCGGATATGTACCTGCCTGTTTTGGGACCGTATCACCACATTAACCATCACCGCTATTTAATAGCAGTAACTCCAAAAAAAGTTATTTATGATATGCATCCGTGTGATAAATACACTCGAAAAAATCGTACATGTCAATTTCTTATTTGCTAATGCTTTTTTTTTTTTATTGATATCTAATTTTGGGAGTAAAATAAATTATGAACTAAAATGATAAATGTTCACCAGCTGATTCTCTGGCATCATAGTTATTAATTTCATTAATTTAATTCTACCAAAGTGCCCAGCATGTGGTTACTCTTAGCAAGTGCGAAAACGTAACGAAAATAAGAAAAATTTTGTTTTATTGCTACGTCGATAATAAAATCTTGCTTCTTATAATTAAAACAATGCAAAAAATAGGTGGGGTTAATTGTTTGACAAAAACCAATTATTCAAACCGAATGAAATTATGGGATAATTTCTGAACCCAACAAGTTTTATGCCAATTTCATCTGTAAAGGATAATTCTGGTAAAAGAACTAAAATTACACACACCCCAAATCAAGTAATATCTTTAATTTTCGATCTACTTCACGTGAAATCAAATATTTTTTTATCGGAAAATTTTTTGACAAATCTGATAATTTCTCTTTCACAACACACTTTTTTTTTTTTCTTTTCATTTTCATTTTTTGTTTAAATCAAACTTTGCGTTCGGTAGAATGCCGTCAACTTTCAACACCTTAGAACGAGAAAATTTATTCCTTAATCCAAGTTCAGATAAATTTGGTTATCCAGAATTACAAAAATTGGTCAAACCTCATATTGAATCATTTAATTCCTTACTTGAGCCTGCTGGTAAAGGAATCTTACACCTTGCTATTGATGATATTGGCGCGCAGGAGATTTTTGACGTTCCTAAAAATAGCTCCGAAAGTGGAAATAAACTTACAAGTATTTTAAATAAAAAAAAAATAGTTTCTTTTAAAAGAGTGTATAAAATAAAATCACCTTATTGATTGATGATTTTTATTGTTTATTTTCCCCCCATGGAAGTATGGATTGACGATGTAATGATTGCAAAACCACTTTTGTCTGAAAATGTTCGTCTCGCAAAATCGAGGCAAATTTATCCCACCGAGGTAAAAAAATAAAAAATAAAAATTTTCCGTATAAAGGTTGATATTAAAAGAAATGCTCTTGTTTTCATTAAAAGTGTCGAGAAAGGTTGACCACGTATGCAGGGAAAATGACCGCGAAATTTTGTTGGCAAGTTAACGATGGCCCCGTTAATGTGGAAGCCAAATATATGGGTATGATACCCGTTATGGTTAAAGTAATGTGATTCGATTTGATCTAATATTTCTTTTTGATTCACGAATTCCGTTGAACTCATGATTATTTTTTAATCACTCGTATTGTATTAGTCAAATAGGTGTAATCTATATAACCTGTATTCGCGACAACTTATACAACATCATGAAGAATCCGAAGAAATGGGCGGATATTTCATAGTGAATGGTATAGAAAAGATTATTCGTCTCCTATTAATTCCAAGACGTAATCATATGATGGCTCTTATACGTCCATCGTTTGCCAATCGTGGTGAAGATTATACGGAGTATGGTGTACAAATCCGTTGCGCAAAACTTGATCAATCAACCGTAACAAATACCTTACATTATTTGAAAAACGGTAGTTGTATGATACGGTTTAGTTGGAAAAAACAGGAATTTATGGTTCCTGTCATATTGGTTATGAAGGTGGGTGATTAAAAAGATGAACAAGAAATTTTTTTATTAATGGAAAGGTGGATTTTGATTATTTATTTGAGTTTCCTTATTTTTACAGTCTCTTGTTGAAGTTTCGGATAAGGGAATATATGATATGTTGGTCCAAGGAGAACATACCAACACATTTTTAACGGATCGCGTGGAACTTATGCTTCACAATTTTAAATTATTTAGCGTTCAATCACGAGAGCAATGCACATCTTTACTAGGTGAAAAGTTTCGTATCACATTCTCTCCACCAACATATTATACTAATAAACAAGTGGGGGATCTCATCTTGAATAAAGTCATTCTGGTTCACCTTAGGTCGAAGAAGGATAAGTTTAATCTCTTTGCGTAAGTAAAAAAAAATTTTGAATTTTGATAGATATCCACTATGTATAATTATGCTAATGTCTGTTATGTATTAAAGGTTCATGATCCGTAAGCTATACTCATTAGTTGCAGGGGAATGTTGTCAAGATAATCCAGATTCCCAACAGAATCAGGAAATCCTTTTAGGAGGTTATCTTTACGGAATGATTATAAAAGAGAAACTATTTGATGTTCTTAATGGATTTCGTACTATCGTATCTATGGATATCAATGCAAAAAGAAAAGTGAATTTTAACGAAAGTGCGTGTAAGACATTTTGCCACTTTATCGTTTAATACACGCGTCTAATTATGACTTGATTTTCTAGCAAAGTACATGAATCACCTTTTCGCAAAGGTCAATCATGATATTGGACAAAAGTTGTCTTATTTTCTTGCCACCGGAAACCTTGTTTCAAATACCGGATTGGATTTAATGCAGGTCTTTATGAATTTATGAGTTATCAAATTATGTCCTGGTATATTACAAACACTTTGAATTAAATTTTGAAGATTTTCAGACCACTGGATACACGATTGTTGCGGAGAAACTTAATTTTTATCGTTTTATTTCACACTTCCGATGTGTACATCGTGGATCATTCTTCACCACATTAAAGACGACCACTGTCAGAAAATTATTGCCCGAATCATGGGGTAATGTATCAAATTGCTTTGAAAAAATTGAAATTATTACACTCCACCTTACTTTTAAATGTTAATTTGATTGTTTGGCTAAGGATTCCTTTGTCCGGTTCATACTCCGGACGGCACACCTTGTGGATTACTTAATCACCTTTCACACACATGTAGAGTTGTTACGGAAAGGTTGAAAGTTGACAAGATTCCCGAAATTTTAGCAGAAATAGGAGTTTCCAAGAATGTGACAACGGAAGTAAGTTCTGATGGTTCGTCGATTTGCGTGCAATTAGACGGTAAAATAATCGGATGGTGTGATGGTGAGCAAGCAAAAGCAATAACAAATGAGTTGAGAAAACGAAAATTTGACAAAACAAATCCCGTACGTTCTTATTTTATTTTTGCATCAGGTCTTTTTCGATACTTCCTTCTAATATTGTATTGATTTGTAGGTTCCTTTGGATCTCGAGATTGGATACGTCCCGCCTTCTAATGGAGGACAATATCCCGGAATTTATTTATTCTCCTCTCCATCACGAATGATGCGTCCTGTCAAGTATCTTTTCAACAACAAAACTGATATGGTTGGATCCTATGAACAGGTAAATTCATTTAGTTGTTTATAAATAGTGTTGTGCACGAGATTTACAGTTTATTAAAGAAAAATTCTTTTCCCCTCCGACATGAAGGTATATATGGATATCGCTTGTCTGGATGAGGATGTTATCAAAGGTGTGTCAACTCATCAAGAATTTGCGCCGACAAATATATTGAGTATACTTGCGAATCTTACGCCATTTTCCGATTACAATCAAAGTCCTCGTAACATGTATCAATGTCAGGTAAAATTTTACAATGATTTTTTGATCCATTTTTTTTTTATTTTTAATATTCATTATATAAAATATATTTTGTGCACAAAAGATGGCCAAGCAAACAATGGGTACGCCGGCTACGTCTCTAAGATACCGAACAGACAACAAACTGTATCGGTTGCAAACAGGTCAAACTCCAATTGTTCGGCCTGAACTTCACAATATTCTTGGTCTGGATGGGTTTCCCAATGGCACAAATGCAATCGTGGCTGTAATTTCGTACACAGGTATTTTTTTTTTTTTTCAAATTAAACATTGTCGATTTATGGCGCTGCAAGAAAAAATTAAATACACTTGAATCAAAAAGGATACGATATGGAAGATGCCATGATTATTAACAAGTCATCACATGAACGAGGATTTGCGTATGGTACTATCTACAAGTCGGAGGTCGTCGATCTCGGGGATTATCGATCGCGTGGTGAACCTATTAAATTTCATTTTGGTTTTGAAAAGGATGCACCCCCAGCATGGCGTGAAAAACTTGATAACGATGGTTTTCCTTTCATTGGAATTAAATTGACAAATGGTGATCCTTTGTGCGCTTATTACGATGATACAACCAAAGTTACAAAGAGTAAAAATTATAAAGGGCTAGAGGATGCCTATGTGGAGGAAATTCGATTAATTGGGGATGATGCTGGTAAAGATGAGGTTCAAAAGATTCATATCAAACTTAGGATCCCCCGACCTCCAGTTATTGGTGACAAGTTTTCTTCCAGGCATGGGCAGAAAGGTATTCTCTCACAATTGTGGCCTCAGATAAATATGCCCTTTACTGAAAGCGGAATGCAACCCGATATCATTATCAACCCACACGCGTTCCCTTCTCGCATGACAATTGGGATGTTTGTTGAGAGCTTGGCAGGAAAGGCTGGAGCTTTATTTGGTGTGGCGCAAGATTGTACTCCATTCAAATTTAACGAAAGTGACACGGCAATTGATTATTTTGGTGAGCAGCTTAGACGTGCCGGATATAATTATCATGGCAACGAACCGTTATACAGCGGAGTCACAGGGGAAGAATTTAAAGCCGATATATACATTGGGGTCGTATATTATCAACGATTACGACACATGGTTTCCGATAAGTGGCAAGTGAGATCCACTGGACCTGTTCATAATCTTACAATGCAACCTATTGGTGGGCGAAAGAGAAGTGGTGGTGTTAGATTTGGAGAAATGGAACGTGATGCTTTGTTGGCTCACGGAATGAGTTTTTGCCTTCAAGATCGTTTAATGAATTGCTCGGATTATTCTCAGGTAGAAAAAATTTATTTTTATTTATCTATTTATTTATTTATTATTATTGTTTCTGTATTAAAATTACTGAACCATTTCATCTTTATATATCTAACTTATCAGTGTCATTTATGTGCCAAATGTGGTACTATATTTACGGCTTTGATAGTTAAAGAACATGAAACAAGGAATGATGTTAAATACAAGAAGCATCATATTATATGTAAAGTTTGCGATACGGCGCAATATATTACTTTAATTAAAATTCCTTTTGCTTTTAGATACCTTGCAACAGAACTTGCAAGCATGGGTGTCAAGATCACACTAGATACAAAATATTAAATCATTACATTTTAAAATAAAAAAAAATATATATTTATATTATAATTTAATCTCTCAATTGTTGAATCAATTATATAATGAGAAATCATTATTTAGTCTTTCAAACTTTTCAAAGCCAACTTTGTAAGCTTTGAAAGAATTCCTCAAAACCCAAATCAATAATAATGCCTTATAGTAGTATAATTGACTAAAACATTTTATGATAATCCTTCATATGAATAAAGTAAAATCATTAATTCTATTGTGCGCTCATACACAAATATGCATGATTCCATGTCAGTTCCTGTTTTGGATGACACTACTCCTGCATCTTCCTTACATTTTGTTTAATGCAAGTTATCTTAATTTGAAAGTCTCTTGTTTTTAAACTTTTAAATTTATTTGTTGAGGAGTGCGAGCAAATATAAACGATGAATGAATAATTCACTCTGGGAAAATAACCCAATTTGCTGAGGCCCTTCGGACCTCCATCTGACCTTTCCGTAAAGGAACATAACCGGAACTTTCATACGGAACCTACCAGATGTTTTTCTGGTTTATATTCACGAGAAAAAAAAATGAAGGAAGGGGCACAAAACTTGTGGGGAGACAAAAAAAGGGGTGTGAGAAAATAATAATATTGTTGCTTAGTCAAATTGTTACTTAAATTAATTGGTCATTTGGAGCTCAACGTTTAAACTAGCTATTTCTTTTATATTGACAATTAAAAGAAAAGCCCCCAACTTTTATTTTTTTTAAAAAAAAAAGATTACTTTTTCATCATCACTTAACGCTTCGAGTCCATCGATTGGTTAACTTTAAAGTGCTTTCTACTTTAGAGGTAGTCGCAAAATTGATTCTGAAAAATCTATTCCCTCAATCGAAGAAGTGGGAGCAATTCCATAAGCAACATGAAAATGTAATTTAAATTATGGCGATGTTACTTGTGGATCAGGTTGAAAATTAGGAGAGAATTATGGAGAGAAAATATAATACATGAGAATAATGCACTAAAAATTTAGAAGAAGGATGCAGATATTATTAAACTTATCGAATAAATTATAAAAATAAGGAAATTGCGATACTTCATCGCACTGCAATCCTATTCAAAGTCAAAAAAATTTCTTGACGTTAAGGAGTTCATCAGGGGACGTTCTTTACGTTTTATTTATTTATAGTTTATTATTTCAAGATAGATAAAGCTGATGATTATATACGGTTACATTTACATGAACCTGTTGGTAAACAAGAAGATTGCAAAATGCTTGCGAGTTGATGGGCAATGGCAAATACAAAAATTTTGTTGATCTAGGTCTATGGTAAGATCCAACAAGTCAACGAATCTTCCATATCGCACCAATTTTAGAGATTCACGATTGGTCTTTTTGATAGTTGTTTGACTCACCGTTTATCTTTATTCAATCCTGATAACGAACAAGCAAAGCAGCCTAGTTACAAAAGTGTTTGAAAAAGTGCCAGTGTTTAAGGGAAGACACAACCAACTTGTGTAATAAAAAAAATCAAACTTTATTCTTTTATCACCTTGAATGTATATAGATTTTTGATAGTATCTAGTAGATTAGTCATCTGAATTTTAGTAAAGGATCGGGTTTGGGTTTTATTTCCATTACTTATCTATATCGTTTAAGAATCTGCTTTTTAAGTATTTTCTAAATATTAATTCTCAATACATTAAAATTAAAAAAATATATATATTTTTAAAGTTATTAACGAATATTATTCGACCTTGTCTCCGAAACTATTATAAGTAAATGAACTTATAAATAAATTCCATCTTCGGACTCATCTTGTTTGTTGTTAAAGGTATTGAGATTATGATCTCTTCTTGTGTGTAACCAGTTGTGTATAAACTGCTTGCTGAATTGAATATGAATCGGTCACATTCTGAGGCAGTTATACAAGTATTGTCTTTCTTCAGTAAATCTTGATCTTTTCACGATGCCTTTGACAATTAAGTACTTGAGTATTTGAGATTTATTAAAATGATTTATTATTATTACCTTTGGATAAGTTCTTCATTCTCCTTTATAGCCAATTGAAAATCTTTATCAAATTCCATTCGATCTATTTAATGAAATTTCAAGACGTTGTTTTTCATAATTAGACTTTGCGAATGTAATTGTGTTAATATAGGTTCAAGAGGTGGTAGAGAAGTCATTTTTTATACAACTTTTTTTTTTATTTCAATTCATTATATGTAGTTAATGATCCGATCATATGACCGATTTCTGAAGGAGTTAAAAGACGGCTCGTCAAAAAACTGGAATTACTAAACCCATTAATAAAATAAGTTAAGAGGAATAAGTTTTTTTACTTCAATCGATTTAATATCAAAGATTTTATTAAGAGAATTTTTAATGATTCCTTTCGCATCCAAAAGCATCCCTTTCATTATTAGCGAAAGTGAAGAATTACAAACGGCAATTAGTGATTTTTAGATAAATTAGGATAAAACCTATAATTTAAAAATTGAATCTAAAAATATAAAATTTACATATCGATATACATATTATCATTAATAATTAAGTTTTTTTACCATACTTTATTGGATCAGCGAAAGAAAAAAATTATTATTGAAATAATTTTTTAAAATATGAGTTATCGGCCAATCAGAATTAAGCCACCTAAATTAATATTATCGTTATTATAATTATTTGCTTTTCATATCAAAAAAATGAATATTTCTATTCCTCAAAGTTTACAACCTTTTCTTGTTCGTCATCCTCGCTTTTTTTATTTAGTTTCCTTGCAACGCAAAAATATCACACAATTTAAGCTTAATTCTAGAAAAAATTATCTCTAATATTTAATAAAAGATACTCTTTAACTTTTGATATTAGCAGTAGATTTTTTTCACAAATATGGATTTTATCGTTTTTATACAACTAGTAATATTAATCTGTATTGAATGGAAAACATTTTCATTCTATTCTTTTAATTGTAAATTTCAGGCCACTCTCCAAGAATTGCGAGAAAATATTTTAAGTCGTTTTGAAGAAATGGGAAAAATTGGAAGAATTTATATTGCTTCGAAAGAATAAATGCACATGTTTCATACCCAATAGAGAAATTAGAAGTATTAAGAAAATATTGTGATGAAGTTATCATGTAACGGCATTTATAAAATTACATTTTATTAAAATGTAAACGCTTTAAATTTAATTAAGTGGAGACATCGGATCTTTTAATGATTTTTTGATTGGCTAGCCTCAGAATTGCAACTTGTTAATGAAAGTTATTGCGGCGATGGCATTATTTCAAGCATTAAAAATTAAAAGAGAAAAATGATAAACTCAGTGTTGGCAATGGATATATCCATTGGTAAAACAATAGACGATAGACGCGTCCATTACAGTTTCCCTTCACAAGAATATGATCTGTATAAAATTATTTAACTTTAAGAGTATCATGATATAAATAAATTTGATTAAATTATATTTAAAGTATAATATATAAACATTTTGATCTTTAATTGTCGGGATTTCGATTTGTGAACTTCGGGATCCCTATTAAAGATATATTTTTTTATAAATTATAAATTTATATATATTAACTAATAACGTTTTATATTTCCAATGGACAATGGACAGAATTATTGTCCAGTATTGCATTATCCAAAGTTGACAACACTGAACCAAGCATTAAATGAGAAAAAATGAATAAATAATAAAGAAATGCTGAGAAAAGTGAGTTACGAGCTCGCACAGCAAAATCGCAACAAATCTATGACGTTAAAGACAGCTTTGGAGTTCTTTTCAGGGACGGGTAAGTTTTTTTACATTCTTATGAGCGACTTTTTTTGCGTTTTGTTTTTTATAGATGTTATGCAATAGATTTATTTCAAAAAAGAATAAGCTGATGATAATATACGTGAACCTTTTGATAGATCGTTACATCGGTTGTCAGAACAAGAAGATTTTAAATACTTGCGAGTTGAATATAATACCGCATCAAAAGGATTGTATAGGGAAGTTGTGCAAAAGAATGGGAGACGAATGAAGTGATTGCCTTAGGTGCCATTTTTCGAGTTGATTTGAAAATTACCATCGGATTAAGTGTTCAAATTTCGTGCTGTTCTCACGTAATTATAGTACAACGTAAAAAATAAAAATAATAAAATTCTTTATTATAATTAGGGTTGGTAAAAGTCCTAATAAGTCCTAATTGGTCTTATTTATATACTATTAATTAAATTTTTTAATAATAAATTATTCTTTTTAATAGTTATTATATATCAATTATTTTATTAATTTAAAATAAAAAAATTCTTTAAAAATAATAAATATACTTAATTTAGGACC